CATTGGTTGAAATCATTTTTTTTTTTTTCTAATTTTTCAATTCTTAAACATGTTTAATAATTATAAAATTTTCAACTTTTTTATATTTTGAATTTGATTACTTTTTTATTCTAAATTTATTTATTTTCTCATTTATTTATTTTAGTGACAAATAATATGTCATGAAAATATTTTACCGACTTAATTATTTATAACAAATCGGATCGAATTGTTATCGGACCGGATTGACCTATATCCATATTTGATCCATTTAGTTAACGGATTATCAGATTCGAATCTTGATCGGGTTATCGGACTAAGACATTAAATCCATCTCCCATTAATTTCGTCGGATTCGGATCAAAATCCAATCCACTGACAGCCCTACTCATTATCAGTTAAAACAACGTCATTTCAAAAATTGATTACAAAAAATAGTTAGTGAGTGTTTGGTAGGGATTAAAATTGGATTTTTAGTAGATTGTGATAGAAGTTTTTGAAATGCGTGGTTGAAAAGTTGTGAGACCCATGAAAGATGTGATTAATATTAATTGTTTGATTTTGACATAGATTAAAATATAATTTTAATCAGAAACAAACAAGGTCTTAACTTGTTTCCGCGATGAATTAAAGTTTCTAAACTATTATAATTCCGTTCAAATTCTTTGTGGAAAAAATTAAATTGAATTACGTTAATAATTTTCGGAGAATATGTGAAAAATTACGGTGAAAGTAGCGTATACGTCTCCCTATTTCTGATTTTGCATTCCATAGTTTACCTAAAATACATTCCAATATATGAGTACTGTATTTTATCATTGACCGTAAATAATTAACATAATAATTATATTCAAACACTTTACCAGAACGAAAAGAAAAGACTAACTCACTTCGATGCCAAAAATAGCATAGTCAACTATGCATTTTTGTACAAAATACATTAAATATAACCAAATTAATTTTTTTTGTAAAGAATGTGCAGTTATTCGTGCAACGTGACAAGTAGGCTCATCCATTACAATATATTTAACAATAAATAGTTTTGAACGACAGTCAAATTATCATTATCATTATCATTATAAATTTACATGCATAATTAACCTAACGAAAACTTATAGAAAAGAACAAAATCTCACAAAGCTCAAACTTGTCAATTTGAAATATCAAATACCAAAAAAGAAAGAATAATTTGAGAAATTTCACAATATTTTTTTATTAATTCAAATTCAACTAATTGTCATAAGACTTATAACTCATATTTAGAGAATTAAATAAAATCTGGATAATAACTAAAATTCTAGATAACGATAAGAATTAAAGATAAAGACAAACTCTAAATAAAATTAAAAAAATAATTGAATTAAAAAAAAATTATTCAGAATATCGAAAAATATGTTTTTGAAACTCTAAACTAAGGATAGCAAAAATATCCATTCAATCCAATATTAATTATACAGAATATCGAAAAATATGTTTTTGAAACTCTAATCTAAGTATAGCAAAATTATCCATTCAATCCAATATCCACGAGCCCAACCCTGAATGGGACAGGGATTACCCACATAATCGGATAAATGGTTCGAGGCTTGGATTACGTGCCTAATCAGGTAGATGGGGCTGGGGTCATTTCCCTTAAGCGAGTACGGGAAATATAATTTTCGTCCCACTACCCTTCCCATTTTAACTTTATTTCAAATTTAAGTTTTTATCAAACAAAAATAAAATAAAAGATGTTTTATTATTTTTAAAGAGAACATGAATTGTTTTTAACAAATTGGAAAAAAAAAATTTAGTAATTAAAGACAAAAAAAATTAAATAAATAAATGTTTTTAGCACAAAAGTAAATTGTTGAGTCAATGTTTGGATATGGAACTTTCTTATAAGCTCCAAAATTGTAGAGAACACTCTTATGTGACTTATAAGATTGGTATAAGAAAGTTTCAGAGGCTCTATCCAAACATACTCTACCACCACTTTCCAAAATGACAAAAAATAGGATTTTTAGCACATCAATATTTATTAAAGAGCAATTCTATTCATATTGTTCTATGCTATAAATAGTATGGATTAAGCTTCTTGTACACTAAATTTAGTGTAAAAGGTTGACAGATAAAAAGAAAAACATAGAAACTCTGTCGAACTGTTTTTTCATTTTTTTTATTTTAATTTGCCAAACATTCTAGTGTACATATAGCAAAGTTCAAATAGTATTATCCTCCTTTTAACCACTCTATAAATTTAATATTTGAAATTTTAATTACATTTCAACAATATTAGGTGGTCCACCATAAACTCCTACAACAAGTGGTCACCCGTACACAAGAAGGAATTCAAATACAACACATTCTTTTGAAGAAACCATTTGAATCTCTCTTCTCCTCCTCTCTCTCAAACCCACAAATATCTATGGCTACTTCCAAGTTTTTGCAGGTCCTTTGGAACCATCCAGCAGGCCCTAAAACCATACATTTTTGGGCACCAACATTCAAATGGGGAATTAGCATTGTTAATATTTCTGAATTTTCAAAGCCACCAAATTCAGTCTCATATCCTCAGCAAACAGCATTTGCAATTGCTGGATTCATAGGTGCCCGTTACTGCACAGTTATCACTCCCAAAAACTGGAACCTTTTCACTATCAACTTTGCAATGGGGTGTACAGGTATTTATCAACTTGCTAGAAAAACTCGACATGACTACTTTGTGGATGAACAAACTGCTATTGCAAGTGATGAATGAAATTAGGGTTTTCAATAATTTGTAACATTCTTGGTTTTTTGGCTGTTAGAATTGCCTTTTATTAGCATTTCATCTTCATCATCTTGTAGCCTTTAATGTACTTGTATTTGTTTGCTTCCAAATGCTATCGTATTGACTGTTATAAATGAAGACAGATAGGTACTCTGCCAAAATTCATTAATGGTGTTTTTGATCCAATAATTGCCTAAAAAGTTTCAATTTTAGATAAAGAGAAATGATATACATCCTCACTGGAGATGCATCCCCAGTTTATGTGGCGTTAATATGACATTAAATGATAGGTGAAATTAAATAAGTCATTTAATTTCACCTATCATTTAACCAATCATTTACATCTACATAGACTGAGGATGAATATTATTTTTCTTAGATAAAGCGCCCATTTGGCCCATTATTCCACGTTATAATGAGAGAAATATTAATTTTTTGGAGAATATGTTATTAAAAAGGAAGAATTTTTTTTTTTTAAATTTATGTGTAATATTATTTTATTAAAAAATATGTGGTTGATAAGAATAGAGAAAAATGAATTATAATTTAAGTAGTTCAATGAATGTCTATATAATATAAGATTTATGCGTACAAGTATATTGATTTCATTGATATCTTAAAATTTTATTTTAAAGTAAGCATCGTTAGGACAAGTAACTCAACCTCTTATACGTTGATTAATATTTTTTATATTTAACTTACGTAAAATTCTACCATTAATGTGCTACGAGATGGTAATTCGTTTGAGCACTCCAAATTGGAAATCCGAATGCACTTTTGATCATTAGACGTATAAAATTGCACTTTGAGCTTGTGGGTTGCGATACTAATGTCAATTAAAAGGACTAATCAGAATTATTATACGTTGGTTAGTATATATACTTAAGATTTTACTCTTAGCCCTTCTTTGAAAGTAATTTTTCCTACACTCATTTTCAACTATAAGCAAATATAATGGGAGGAGGAGAGGCATAGCCTCAATTTTCAGATTCTACTGGCTCCCTCTCGAGCACTGCGGTTGCATGTTGGGGAAGGAAAGATACGATCCTTACTCTATTTCTTCCTTCGCGTGTTACGAATAGGCCGAGAACCCATCTATATCCCTATGAACCTTATGATTTTTATTAGAATAAGATTTTTATTAGATTTTGATTAAAATTGATGAAATGTGTGGTTGAAAAATTATGAATCGCGTGAAATATGTAATTAAAATTAATTATTGATTTTAACTTAAATTAAAATATGAATTATAATCTCTACCAATCTGCTTGGCCTAATAAATTTCTTAATAATGAACTTAAATCCTTCATAGTTTTTATTTTCAGCAATAAATCTGCCAAGTTTGTTGTAAATTGTCGCTCCATTATCCTGAGTTAGGCGTCAAAATCTAAATTTGAAAAATTCAGCCCCACGTTTGGTTCTTATTTTCTTAAACTTATTTTTTCTCAAATTCATTTTAACCACACATTTCATTAGATCCATAATTTTATTGACTTTTTAACTGCACATTTCATCAATTTTTATCAAAATCTACTAAAAAGTCGATTTTTAACTAAAACAAACAAGGGCTCAATTTGATCCCGAGACCTTGAAAGGCCTACGAAAAAGCACAAAGAATTATAATAGGTTATTTTAGAATTACACAACCAAAGACCTTTATTCAAATTTTTTTGCCCAGTGTCCAGTTGATGATAGATTATTCATATGCTCTAGCACATCAATATTTATTGAAGAGTAATTTTATTCATATTATTCTATGCTATAAATAGTATTATCCTTCATTTAACCACTCTATAAATTTAATGCTGTAAATTTTAGCCCATGTTTGTTCTACATATTTTTTCCATCTGTATAAATATTATGACGGTTGCACAGTAAAGCATTGACCTCCTTTGTATGATGATGTGGTCCAACTGTTTGAAAAAAAAGGGTCAAAAAATTTCTAATAATGAAAAAAATTTTTAGAACAAACAGGGGCTATTACATTTCAATAATATTAGGTGATCCACCATAAAGTCCTACAACAATTGGTCACCCACACAAGAAGGAATTCAAATCAACACATGGAAACCATTTGAATATGTCTCTTCTTCTTCTTCTTCCCTCTCTCAAACCCACAAATTATCTACGGCTACTTCCAAGTTTTTGGAGGCCCTTTGGAGCCATCCAGCAGGCCCTAAAACCATACAGTTTTGGGCACCAACATTCAAAGGGTTAATTAGCATTGTTAATATTTCTGAGGGGGTGTTTGATGTACATTATTGAGAAAATAATGCATTTTATGATTTGATGTGATCGAAAATATGTGGTTAAAATATAAGAAAAATTTTGAATTTGCATGTAATATTATTTTGAAGAATGTGTAGTTGAAATGAGTTTTAAAAAATTGATTTTTTTTTTTTTAAAATGTGGATCAAACAGGGACTGAATTTTCCAAGCCATCAAATTCAGTCTCTTATTCTCAGCAAACAGCATTTGCAGTTGCTGGATTCATAGGTGCACGTTACTGCACGGTTATCCTCAGCAAACAGCATTTGCAGTTGCTGGATTCATCTTGTAGTGTACTTGTATTTGTTTTCCTACCAAATGCTATTGTATTGACTGTTATAATTGAAGACAGATGGGTTCTCTGCCAAAATTCATTAATGGTGTTTTTCTTCGACTAACAACAGTTACCAACTTGAATAGTTACCTAAAAAGTTTCACTTTTAGATAAAATGGTCCAACATGTGTTTGCATATTATAAAATTTTACGTGTACGAGTGTATTGATTTCATTGATATCTTAGAATTTTATGTTAACTAAGCATTGTTAAGAGAAGTAACTCAACCTCTTATATGTTGATTAATATTTTTATATTAACTTTTGTAAAATCGTACCCCTAGTGCCTCGTAAGATGGTGATTCCTTTGAGCACTCTATAAAATCCGAATGCTCATTTGATCATTATATAATTACACTTTTTCAGCTTGTGGGGTTCTCATACTAGAAGGTCAATTAAGAGGACTAATCCAAATTATTATTATATGTTGGTCAGTATTTATACGTAAGCTTTTAGTTTTAGCCCTTGTTTGAAAGTGATTTTTACCTACACTCGTTTTCAACCACAAATTGTACAAAAAGAATTTTTTTTCTCACTTTTCTCACTTTTTACCACACATTTTTTTACAAATCACTTTTCAAAAAATTAATTTCAAACAAGCTCAATATTTCAATTTTGGAAGCATATAATAAAAGAGATATTGAGTGACCTATATTTATTTTTTAAATGTAAATTATATTGATCAAAAATCATATACAAGTACGTTAAAACATCAATTATATGGGACATACAACTATTCCGGGCATACTCAAACAAACAAAAGAAAAAAAAGATGTACAAACAATATGGGCTAGTGACCCAAAGCTAACGACTCCCAATGAATCAAAACATTTGGATACAAAGAAAATATAACTTTGTATACGTGTATTTTGATTCGTCTAATAATGTCATCGACATGGGGTCTCATGTCCTAGAAAATCTTCCTATTTATTGCCATCCAGATATAGTAAACGATGCTTATTAATGCAATCCTGTTGACCCTACTTTATGAAGATGTCCCTTGAGCCTCCTTCTTGATCTACTTTAATGCACTAGCAATAGTAGTCATCACTCTTCTAATGCCCACCAACTCCTTGATATTCTTCCAAACACACGAAGAGAATGAGCATTGAAAAAATAAATGATGGCTAGTTTCCTCATGTGATGCACAGAAAAAACAAGTAGGATCAACATTAAGATACGGTAACCTATCCTTGGTAAGCAACTTTGATAGCGTCCCCAACCAAAGAATGAAAGAGTGCTTAGGTGTGATATACAATCTCCACACTTCAGTAGTCCAACCTCTCTTTACTCCATCGTGTCTGAAGAATTCATATGCCCTACACACGCTAAAATAACCTGCCTCCGTCCATGCAGTCAACTTGGTCGTAGCAGCCTGCACTAACTAAACTTTGTGATTGCCTTGCACTACTGTAGCTGCCTGACCTACTTGAACAGCCTGCATAGCCGCAACAGGCTACCCCATAACATCTCTGATTTTCAGCAGTTTTTTTGAATAGCAGCGAGTCATCTTTCGTTGGCATAATATCTCAAATACTTGCCCCCCTTAAATAGAATTGATTTACCCAACGTATCCAAAGTGTATCCTTTTTTTGGTGAATATTCCAAAGTGATTTAGCGAGTAATGCTGAATCCCAACTTTTCAAATCTCTAAAACCAAGGCCATCTTCAAGTTTCGGTAAGCAAACATCCCTCCAAACAACCAATGGCTTCCTAACTCCCCCAAAGGAAATCATGATATAGGCTAATAATTCTTGAAATAATAGATATCGGGATACGGAAAATAGATAACCAAAAACATTCAAATCCTTATAGCACCGCCCTAATTAATTTCGCCCTACCCACATAAGATAAAGATGAGCAAGTCCAAGCACCAATATAAGCTGTAATTGTATTCAAAAATGGGGTACAACAACTAACTTTAAACTTCTCAAATGCAATTGGAACACCCAAATATCGGAATGGCATAGTACCCTTCGGGGTATTAGTGAGTTCTTGGATTTTTCCAACTATTGTCCATGAATTCCAGTTGTAAACAAGCTGGATTTTGAGGTGTTCATCCTCAAACCCAATGAATTACTAAAGTTGGATAGGCAATCTATTATGATTTGCACCGACAAAACATCTCCCCTTGCAAAGAGCATCAAATCATCAACGAAAGCTAAATGAGTAATCTTTAAGGGCCCACATTTAGGATGATAGTTGAACTCACTATTATTGGAGGTTGCCTTCATCATTCTCGAAAAATATTCAAAACATAAAACAAACAAGAAGGGGGAGATAGGGTCACCTTGCTGGAGACCTTTCATTCTCTTAAAGAAACCATGTATGCTCCCATTCAAAACGACAGAATATGTTAGTGTAGTAATACATTCCATGACCCATTC